TTTCTACAGGCATATTTCATGACTTTATGACTATTATCATTTTATGAGTCTGTCTATTTAAACTATAGACTCACATTAAAATAAAAAGGGAGAATAACATTTAAAAAATTATTGTCCTATAAAAGTCATCGTTTTTCTGTGAGGAGAGGTAATGAATACATGAACTATCTTTTCTCCCTCAGTTTCCCTGGTCTTCTAAAAAACAACCTGAAAGACCCTCTGAAGAGGTAGGGGAAGGGGTTGAACAATGAGCAAACAAAAGCATCTTGTTGGTATCCCGTGTCTACCTGAATGTTCTATCTCCCTGTCAGTCTCATTTAAGTTAAGGTATGGCCCCAAGTCTGGTCCTCAACATTAAAGTCTGACATGAACACCCCAATGTAGAATCTCTTATTATGTCCAGTGGCCTTCTTTTCATAAGTTCATTAGTTTCATGCTGGGACTATTTATAATTCTGGCTGCTCTTTTCTGAGAAAGCTTACAGGAGGAGTGGATACCAATAATTATTGAAACTGTGGCGTTGGCTTTTTTGTTTTATCTCTTCCCCCACCCTCCTCATGTAGCACAACCTTCCTATTAGGATAATGTCAAGCTGTTGTTATGGCTAATGTTAAAGGACATTATTTTGTTTGAGTTATTTCCAAGTTAATCTCCATTTCATAAAGCTACCTCAAAATGAATTGATGGCTTTAAAAAAATAATCAATTTTATGAAACAATTAGTTTGAGATATTGTGCTTCTACTCTGAGGTGAACATCAAGGAGAATTTTATGTTTGAAAAATTAGAAGCAGTTAATTGCACTCAAATTATGACTCTCTCCTGAGGAAAGTACTTTGCAGACTAGAATTATTAGTCCCACTTTGTAAATGAAAAAGCAAGCGTTGAAGAAATTAAGTGCTCTGTGTAAAATTAGAGCCAGGAATGAGACACAAGAATTCCGATTCTTCTTGTACCAAACCATCTGACCACAGGCAAATTTTAGAATTTAGCCAAGACTAAAGGATTTGTCAGGATAACCTTAATAAATTGTGAAAGAGTAAAAGGGACTCTCTAATCTGTACAATCCTTTTTCACATTAAATTTATGAAATCATATTTAATGAATACTGTAAGTAAGATATGAAATCTTACATGGATGTTGTGGTACTTGAGATAGGAATGAAATTTTGAAGTAGCAAAGTTGACATTATTCTGTGATTTCATGTTCACAAGATGTAAAGAACAGTCAAGTAAGTATTCTTTTCTTGAAAGTCTTATGGTGAAACTGGAATTAAATAATTAAAACTTTAACACAGTTCTTACAGGTTATTTTGTGTTACGAATTCAGGATAGTACACCAAGTACTTCTATAAATATTAGAATTATAATATAATAGAATCCACTTTATTCTGCATTATATTATTCTTTACATTTTATAAATATATTGGTTCAAAAGGAATAAAAATTATTCATAAAGTTATTCAGCTGCTGAACTCTTTCTAAACCTTCATATTAAGTGCCAATCTACTTTTCTATTTACTTAACAATTTATAAGTTTTAAACTGATTTTATATGTCAAATTGGTAGCTTCACAGTCATCATTATTTATTGCAGCATTTTACTGTTGCAATAATGAATATACATTTATATATATTTCACCCAATAGAATTTCCACTGATGAAACACTTAAGGAAAATTTACTAGAAATTACATCTAGAATGCTCACTCATTTTAGAAAATATTCTAATACTAACAATGAAATCAAGTTACATGCCTTGTTTATATATTTGTTGCTGTTATACTGATTAGATAGGATGGTGATCTATGCTTTTACAGGATCACTGATTACACAGACGTTCAGGGATGTCCAAAATGACATGACATGAAAGTGGGCACTTGGTCAGAGCCAAAGTTAATTGGCAGACTGGCTGAATTCTGAGGTTGAACCTGAACTTCAGTGTATGTCTACTATTTATTTATTATACAACATGTCCTATGGCATGAATATATCATGTATATTATGAAACATACACAAAATTAAAGCATAAGATATAGAAGGTCTAACATTTTTTTCTTGGGTTCTAGTGAATGTTATTGTGCACATCCTGGGGTGTCTACACCTCTCCATTGGGAACTACTGGCCTATAAAATAAAGTTCATGCTCCCTAACCTGATGTAACAGAGCCCTTCAAGATCTGGTCCCTATTTTATCTGTCCCCTCTCCCTGTCTTGAACCTCACACTTTAACAACATTGAGTGGCTTATAGTCTCCTACAGGTCCTATTTCTTGCCTCTGTGCCTTGGCTCAGGCTGTACTCTATGCCTAGCATGGTGTTTTCTTTTTTGCTTGGCTAGTTCCATTCATCCTTTTGTTTCATCTAACACATCACATTCTCCAGGCAGTTCCCTGACACTTCTTTTTCCCTCCTTTGAGGCTGTTAGTTAGGTGATCTCCTCTTAGCTCCCAAATTCCTCGTGTGTAGTTCTATTCTTACACTTATTAATTGTACTTTAATTGTCAGGGGTGACCCTGAACTGATTTAGCTTATGTTCCTGCCACCCCAGAGGATTAGGGCTGAAATAGAAATTAAGTTGGGTTACAGAAAAGTAGGAAAAGTTGTATTTTCTGTACGCTTGAGAATTTTCAGTCTGAAGTTTGAACTAACTACCCTTCCTGACCCTTGACCTTGGGTACAAGTAATCATACCTTAGCCAGGGGTTAGGTTCAAAGGTGAAAAACTCATATTCGTCAGGTAGAGTGCTAAATAGAGACACTGTTAAAATGAAGATATTGGAAGAGATGCTAACAGAGGAATGTCTAGGAAAAATTCATTGTGTTTTCTTTTACGCTCAAATATAGCAGGTATGTGGGTTTTTTTTTCTCCACATTGACCAATTCTCCAACACCTGTTGGATGTCCTATAATTCAATTCAATTCTGACACTAACCAGAGTTAGCATAGACCCCACAGGTTAAGGGCTCAGACCCACAAGACTGCCCCCACTTCAGATGCCAACCACAAGTAGTAAGTTCTCAGGTTACCCAGAACTTCTGTCTGACTTGGCTACGAATTGAAGGTTCTCATGACCTTCTTCTCAGGCTCAATAATTTTCTGGGGCAGCTCACAGAACCCAGAAAAACAGCTCACTTACCATTGCCAATTTATTACCAAGGATATTTTAAAGGCTAGTAAGAGAACAGACAGATGAAGAGATACACAGAGTGAGGTCTGAAAGGGTCCTGAGCGCAGGAGCTCTGTCCCAGTGGAGGTGGGGCACATAGACCTCCTGGCATGTGGATGTTTGTGTTCCCCAACCCAGAAGTTGTCTGAACCCTGCACTTGGGGGATTTTTATGGAGGCTTCATCACATAGTCATGATCGATTATTAACTCCACTTTCTGCCCCTCTCCCCTCTCCAGAGAATGGGGGTGGGGCTGGAAGTTTTGTTTCTAATCATGGCTTGGTCTTTCTGATGACCAGCCTCTATCTGGGAGCTCACCAAGAGCTGCCTCATTAGGACAAAAGACATTCTAATTCCCTAGAAAATTCCAAGGGATTTAGGAGCTCTGTGTCAGACACTTATCACTCAGGAAATTACCAAGGCCTTAGGAGTTAAGATCAGGAACCAGGGTCAAAGACTAAATATTAGAGCAAAAGATTTTCCTAGCAGCCCTATTTACAAGGGGTTTTTTAGAAACTTTATGTCAGGAACTAGGGGCAGTGGCCAAGATATATATATATTTCTTATTTTAGAGATGACTTACAAAGGTTTTGACTGTGTGTAGGTAAACAATGAGAAATTGTGCAGTACCCAGGGCTTGTAACAATAGGTTCTATTTCCACATCTAGGCCTACAGAACCCATGGGCGGGAGTGGGTCCAAGAACCAGAGATAGAGCAAGGTGTATAGACAAGGTCACTTGACAAGCGCAGAGACCTTTGAAGTGACCCTGCTCAGAAATAAACACTATAACCTTGCTCTTCTGCCTCTCCATCTCCTGCCAGTGACCCCCACTTTTGGTTGAACTCAACTGGAAGCCAGAGGGCAAAGCAGCCTATTGATGCAGTCCCTGGCACAGTGCATGGTGGGGAGGGTGGAGAGAGGATAAGGAAGGCAAACAGAAGACATGAGGCATAGCAGATAACCCAAAGGACCTTTGCAATTCCCAAAAACCTATCCCCGCCCCTTCTCCACTTAGTCTTGAGGTTGCGCATACAAAATCTTTAAATAAGTGACTTATCATAAAGTGATAGCAAATGCTAAAATCTTTCCATTATTCCATTTCCTCTGAGAGGACTGCTCTATCTCAGCCATTCAACCATGGCTGAAGTGGTGGGAAATTCTATAATGTAGAAGATTTAGCAAAATATCAGATATCACAAATGCAAATGACTCACAGGGTCAGGCAGGTGATGAAAATCAGACAAGAAAACAAAACCAAAACATAAAACCATCGATGGATGCAGTTGCAGGCAGCCCGTGGATGAACTCTGGCTCGCTCGCCTGATGGTAGCCCCTCTCATCAGCCTTTAGTTAATAGTGATGAGCAACCACAGCGTTGGCTGATCATTTCTGAATGCAGAGTGGAATTCATAGAAAGCAGTCTCTTCTGTGTCCGTCAGAAAAACTGGTCCTCCTAATAACCGTGGGCAGAGGCTAGGAGCGCTTCTGGAGGCCTACTATGTGCAAGCACTGTTCGAAGTACTCCATCTGAATTAACTCTTTTAATCCCTTCCCAGTCCCCACAAAATAGGTGATATTATGAGCACTAGTTTACAGGCGGGGAAACTAAGGCACAGAGATGTTAGGGAAGGAGCAGGTGACTTGCTACACCTGTTCAGCCATGCATTCCAGGCAGGACTGTCTAGCTGGCAAGAGCCAAGGGGATTTTTTACTAATTTTTGAAATTTCCTTGACTCCAACTTGGCTTAGAAAATGATTTGAGAATGTCTTATCTTTGAAATATATTACAAATTATATCCTTAAGGAAATAGAAAATCTGGAAAATAATAAAGCTTACCTTTAAAGGGGCCAGATATTTGAGTGGCTACAATCGTGGCTGCATTAACCTCCTTGGGCAGACGTCACAGTAGCCTTCCCTTCACTTGTCTGAACACTCACCTCAGCCTCTCGGGGCCTGTGGGTTTTCAGGTGATACATGTGCATCCTGCATTCCAGGAATATTCCCTTAGAATAGACAAACAGTGGGGAGAGGTGAGCTTTGTGGAAGGTTTTCCCTCCTTGGTTACCTTAACCCACCACCTGCACCTCCTCTGTATTGGAGAATTTGAGTGTTTGATCATATCCAAGATACATCTATGTAAGACCAACTATTATTTGAAAACTTCTAGCCCTATGCTGAATAAGAATGGTGAGAAAGGACATCTTGCCTTGTTTCTGGTCTTAGGGGGAAAGCATTCATTCTTTTATTTTGAACAGTAATTTTGGCTGTAGGTTTTTTGGTAGATACTCTTGATAAAGTTGTGGAAATTCCCCTCTATTCATATATTCATAAATGGGTGTTGAATTTTGTCAAATGATTTTCTGCATTAGTTAATATGATCATGTAGCTTTTATTCTTCAGCTTGTTGATATGGTAGATTACACTGATTGTTTTAAAAATGTTGAACCAGCCATGCATACATGGAATAAATTTCACTTGGTCATGGTGTATAATTCTTTTTGTACATTGCTGGATTGGATTTGTTTATATTTTGTTGAGGGTTTTGTTTCTAAGTTCGTGAGAAATATTGGTCTGTAGTTTTCTTTTTAGTGCTATCTTTGATTTTGGCATTAGGGTAACACTAACTCCATAAAATGAATTAGGAAATGTTCTCTTCCATTTCCTGGAAGAGATTGTATAGAGTTGGTAGAATTTAATTGTTTGGTAGAATTTTCCATTTGGGCCCAAAGACTTTTTTTGGGGTTAATTATAGGGCTATTCCAATGATCTATTTCATATGGGTGAGTTGTGGTAGTTTGTGTTTTTCAAGGAATTTGTTCTTTTTATACACAGGTGTGTAGAGTTTTAAAAATTATTCTTTTGATGTCTGTAGTGATATCCTGTTTCATTCTTTATTTATTAACATTTTATTGAGGTGTAATTTATATACAAAAACTGCATATATTTAATGTATACAATTTGATGAGTTTGGATTTATGCTTACACCCATGAAACCATCACCACAATTAAGATAATAAACACATCTGTCACCTCCAAACTTTGTCAATGTCCTCTCCCTTTTTCTGGTGATAAGAACACTTAATATGAAATCTACCCTCTTAATAAAATTTTTACGTGCACAATACAGTATTGTTAACTATAGGTGCTATGCTATACAATAGAATACTAGAACTTATTCATCTTGCATAACTGAAACTTTTTACCCACTGAATAGTTCCTCATTTCTCTCTCCTCCTAGGCCCCGGCAACTACTATTCTACTCTGCTTCTATGAGTTTGACTATTTTACACACCTCATATAAGTGCATTAATGTAGTATTTGTCCTTCTGTGACTGGCTTATTTCACATAGCCCAATGTCAGATCCATCCATGTTGTGGCATATGGCAATATTTCCTTCTTTTTTTTTTTTTTAAGGCTGAGTAATATTCCATTATATGTATATACCACATTTTCTTTATCTGTTCATCTGTCAATAGACATTTAGGTTGTTTCCATAGCTTGGCTATTGTGAATAATGCTGCAATAAACATGGGAGTGCAGATAGCTGTTCAAGATTCTAATTTTAATTCTTTTGGATATATACCCAGAAGTGGGATTGCTGGATTATATGGTAATTCTATTTTTAATTTTTCAAGGAATCTCCATACTGTTTTCCGTAGCAGCTGCACCATTGTACATTCCCACCAACAGTGTACAAAGGTTCTAATTTCTCTATAACCTTGCCAACACTTGTTATTTTTCATTTTTTAATAATAATCATCCTAAAGCATGTGAGGTGATATTTCAGTGTGGCTTTTATTTGCATTTCCCTGATGATTAGTGATATTGAGCACCTGTTTATGTACCTGTTGGCCATTTGTACGTTTTTGGAGAATGTCTATTTAAGTCCTTTGCCTTTTTTTTTTTTTTTTAAGATTTTTATTGGGGAATTGGGGAAGGGAAACAGCCAAGTTGTTGTCCTTCAGTCTTAGCTGTGGAGGGCGCAGCTAGCTCAGCTCCAAGTCTAGTTGCATTCCGGCAGCCCAGCGGCAGCTCAGGGCAGCTCAGCCCAAGGTGCCATGTTCAATCTTAGTTGCAGGTGGGCATAGCCCACCATCACATGCGGCTGTCAAACTGGCAACCTTGTTGTTAGGAGCAAGTGCTCTCACCAGCTGAGCCATCCTGCCACCTGTTGGCAGCTCAGCAGCAGCTCAGCTCAGGCGCAGCCTCACTGGCCCATGTGGGAATCAAACCGGCAACCCTGTTGCTCAGAGCTCATGTTCTTAACCAACTGAGCCACTTGGCCATCCCTTACCTATTTTTTAATTGGATCATTTGTTTGGCTAGTTAGTTATAGGAACTCCTTATATATTGTAGATACTAATCCCTTATTAGATATATGGTTTGAAAATATTTTCTATCATTCTATAGGCTGCCTTTTCATTCTGTTGATTGTTTCCCTTGCTGTGCAGAAGCTTTTCATTTTGAGGTAGTCTTACTCATCTATTTTTGCTTTTGTTGTCTATGCTTTTGGTGTCATGTCCAAGAAATCATTGTCAAGATCAACATCAAGATTTTCCCCTATGTTTTCTTCTAGGAATTTTACAGTTTCAGGTCTTACATTTAAGCCTTGTTTCATTTTTTTTTTTTTAAGATTTTTATTGGGGAATTGCGGGGAGGGGAACAGCGCTGGGGAATTGGGGGAAGGGGAACAGACAAGTTGCTGTCGTTTT